TCCTTCCACGTCTTCGCGCCCGCTGATGCGTCAGTTTGCGTTTCAATCTTCCATCAATGTCGATGAATCCGATCCGTGCCGGCGTGCAGGCGAGTGTCGCATCTCCCAAAAGAAACCGCTTGTTTAGTTGCCCTTGCCAATCATTGCCATGCAACAAACACATGGCCTTCACAACTGTCTGAGTGGCTCATTGCATTGTGCAACAGTCTTTGTCGACAGGAAACCGCCCGCTTTGTTGTTGCCTTTCTTCCAGATGGAAACATGTGCATCCGTGCTGTTGACAAAGTGTGACAAAGCCGCTGGAGAAGAGTCAATGCAAGCGTCGAAACAAACCAGGCAGCCAATTGCGCCCTCAACGACGCTGCGCCTCTCAGTAATCGGGTTGTTCAACTTGGATTTAGCTGTGGCTGGCCCGTCCCGTGTAGGCATAGACTGGATGGATGCTCCAGAAGGTGTCGACTCGTAGAACCAGATGCGCAGCCGTCATCCAACCCGTGGTGTTGGGAATAGTAATCACGATTCGCGCCCATGATTTCGCGGAGCTCGGTGAAGAAACGCTCGACATTCCGCATGGCTTCCGGCTGATGACGCACAATGAATGTATCGACGTTACCTGTAGTCAACGCTCCATGGACAATGAGCAAATCAGGACGTGGACCTGTTCGCACTTCGGGCGCCGCGCCTTTCTCTTTTTGTCTTGCTCCATGTCCGTATTAATTCCCGTACGCCCACCATCTACTACTAGTTACTAGTACCAGACTACATACATACTGCACAATAGGCAGGATCCCACCCAACCGAGCTAACTCCTTCCTTGTACGGGGAATGCCATCTCTCACCGGGTCTACACGCATTGACTAAGCCAATCTCCTCGGTATCCTCACTTTTCTGCTCTTGCCCGTGCGATATATTGATGCAACCGCATGTCCATAGTCTCGGCCGACTCTGTATCGCTGCCAACAACATTTAGCATCGCGTTTGAGGTGTGTATATTGTATTCCGAAGTCGCCAGGCGCCGCTCAACTCAACGAGCCCCTTTCCTCGCCACGCCAAAACGTCTGTGGAATCCCATTCTCATGTCGGACCAAGTCACAGGACCAAGCAGGACAAAGGGACCTGAGCCGCCACCGCGCGCCCATGCTTCTGAACAATGCCAAGGGTAGTTTTGGAACCTTTGACTCGTACCTTGCGGCCTTGCGAATTGAAACACTAATACTCATCTAAACGCAGGTGGCATGACTTGATCTATTGTCTCTACCCGGGATGCCATTCACAAGGATTCCAACAAGGCATACATCTCGAAGAGCACTACAAATCGGAGCACGCACAGTCCGCCTCCATGTTGGGTGACGTGTCTCCGACAATGTCTACGGTGCTTGATCCATTTGATCGACTCGAGGTCTTTCTGGAGAGCTTGCAGAAGAGCGCCGATATTGATGAGAAGACGGTAGACAAGGAGAGTACCGAGAGCACAGACTCCTTACCGAAACCCATCAAGCGAACGGGACAGGCTGGCTGGAGGTGGAGATGTGCCGAATGTTCGCAAATCATCGATCTTGATTGTAACGGCTATGTCTGTCCGTTCTGCCGGCAGACTTGACGAGTGCCGACTGTTGGTTATTGATGCTGGCAAACGACGTGCAAGATGGGAGCTTCATAAAACAACAGGCGTTGGGATTTGGGATACCACTTATTAGAGAGATACACGCACTCACGAGCAACTAATTCGAATACGACGACACGAGCACACGAGCACACGAGGATATGCTGAAGTCATTTAGTTTAAGAAATACCTATTGTATACCACGAATAAAGTTTTATATGCTTCATCATTTGCGGCTTTGCATGCAAGTGCTCGCAAAGTTCATGTACTTCTGGACGCTTACTCTGCGGCAACCCCAAGCCATGGGACGAAAGACATGCACACAGCCTCGCATGTTTATGTACGCGCTACAACCACTTGTCACAGATGCCTTACTGCCAGGTTGCCATGCCACAATTCACACCCGCTCGGGCCAGTTCATGTCGGTCCAGCCCTGCGGCCAGCCGATCTTGACGGGATATATGTGGAGATTTGGTGCTCTGGCTACTGAATATAGGATCTGCTGTGCATGCATAGTACACCTTTGCGAAATCCCTTGATGGCTTTTCCCCAGGGCCAACAGCCGGGTGCCATCTGATGGCACGGAGCCACATGTAGGAACACGGCCTCCCTTTGCGGATGTTGGCAAAGACCAGGTAGCTAGGTAGCAGCCATGCCCGTCGTAGCTAAATGGACTCATGCTCTCCGAGCACTCCTGCTGGTGAAGTGTCTGAAAATTAAGCTCGGCCCTAATGTGATGTCTTCTGGAACTAAAGCCCGGCGGAACACTCGTGTAGCGATTATACTTTGCCAAAGCACGCGGTGGCTGTTGAGCGGAGGCTTTGAAGTTGGAACATGGCCTGTTTTGGGGCATGAAGACGTAAATTTGAGCATTCGGTGCGTGTCTGTGCCTGGAAATCTGCATGTATATGCGGGTTGATTCAAGATTTGTATGGATGCTGTAGTTTTTTTTTTGGTCAAGACCTGCTCTGGCAATGATGAACCATGTCACGATGTAGTCGTGGTGTAGTGTGTATTCGATTCCGCGCTTTATTTGCAGGACACTATGTACTTGCAGCGGCTATTCCTGGAGACTAAGAAATAGGCGTGACTAGTTACAATTACGAGAGCGTCTAGCTGCGGATGGCTGACTTGGACATCAGCCCGACTGTGCTTTTAGAATACAAGCTTTCATCAAGCGGCGTTCTTCTACGCGGCAGTTGCACGCCAAACCAAGTCCTAGGAAACTCAGACACGGGAAAGATGTTGAGTAGTAAAAGTATAATTTCTTTAGGTCTTTTTCTTTAAGCCGAATCATGATCAGAAACCCAACTGTATAGTATATTTAACAAACCTGTGCCCCCCTTTGTTCACCACCAGTTACCAGTCACCAGCCACCACTCATAGCACAAGTCCAACAACCAAATACAACACATCAGTTATATACTACTGCAAGCCATCACGGGGGCCACGGTCGAAAATGCCTTCCCTCTCGCGGCTAGACCGCTCGACCTTCACCCCCTTCAACCCAAGCCCATTGCTGGACCCTAACAACTTCATGTTAGCCATCACCGTCATCATCGACTACATCAACTTTGGCAACACGAGGCAAGAAGTAGTCCAGCTCCGCGACCTCGCCCAAGCCTGGTGCGAGAGATACTTCAGCACGCCGCAGTTCGCCCGACACAAGCTCAACAGGGTGCTCAAGCACCACCCCAACTTGTTCAACTTTTCCATCATATCCCGCGCGCGCCTGGACTCCCTCCCCGCCGTCGCCGCCGCCGCCGCCAACACCAACGACGACAACGACAACACCGCCATGGACGTCGACGGGTTCCCCACCTACATCGAGCCCAGCCTCTTTGAAGACCACGTCCTCTACGAAATGCTGGACATCGTGGCCGCGAGGCAGCAGCACCTACAGCAGATCCACAACGGCGACCCCTACGCCCACCTGCGCCCGCAGGTCTCGGCGGCGAGTCTGAAGAATACCCATATCATCTGGAACCTCCCCGAAGTCATGGCGAGCCTGGCGAGGCTCAACATCGCGGCCCTGGACGACGGCACCGGAACCCCCATGTTTGTCGACCCCCCTGCGCCGACGGCGGCGGACAGCTCCATGAACGCGGGCGCCGCGCCGGCGCAGCGGGCATCCGTGTCCGGATCCGACATGTCCCCGGATTGCAGCAGCGGCTGCGACTGCATGTCGCTGGATGGGACTCCCGACGAGGACGCAGAGGCAGAGGTGTTGGATGGGACTCCCGAAGAGGACGCAGAGCTGTTGAATGGGACTTCCGACGAGGACGCCGAGCTGTCGGATACTTCGTTCCTGACGGCCGAGTCCGACGGCACGTTTCAGACGGCGCGCACGTCTCCCGAGGCCGCCGACCTGGGGGCCCTCACCCGTGACACCTCCCGGATGGTCTTGACTGATTTCGAGGACGCTACGGCCGAGCAGGACGCTACGGCCGAGCAGGACGTCCCCGGGGAGGCCATGGAGGGCGTTGAGCAGCAAAGGCACCCCGTGCTCCGGGGGTACTTCGCCATGATTAGGAGAAAGATGGAGGAGGCCAGGTTGCGGCTCCTGAATGAGGATGCCGAGGACATGTCTTGAAGGATGGGTGTTGCCACGATGGCGTTGCGCTGAGCTGGGGTTTCATATGTATTGTATAACACTAGACATGTTTGGGTGACGATTCGGCGTCCGTGGTTGGGATTTTATGGTGAGAGAGACATTGATGGCAACTGCCAAGTGCCAACTGTAGTTCGAGCTTGAGGTCTGTACTACTAAAAGTGGGGAACTCTGCTCTTTATCTCTCTCTGTACGGAGTATCACAGGATTGTACAGCTAGACCGCAGATCCGCTCCTCCGATGAGAAGAGGACCCTGCATGTTTCTATGTACTAGCAGTTCTTGATAGAAAATTGCATATTTTGCACAAAGGAACAAGCTCTGTGCCCGTGATGCATGACGGTGTAAACCTCGGCCTTGGTCAACTCGCAAGCAAAACAACATTCTCGTCCAAGTACTACGTTGCCGCCGTCCGCACCACCTCTCTCGGCAGCAACTCGACCTGTTGAAATTTGGACTTCGTCGTCGTGGTTCGTATCAGCTGTCGTGTCTTCTGTTCTTACCTTTGGGCATTGAGCCCCAGAGCATGGTGGTTTATACCCCATTCATGACAACTATTGTCTTTGTTTACACAGCAGTCACTATTGAACCTCGCATGTCTGCTGATGAGTCGTATAAGTATTCCCATGTAACTCTTCACTACAATCTTTAAAACGAAAACGAGACCCAATAACACATGCTCCCAAACACCAGCGCTTATTCCGCGTGACATGCTGCTCAGCTATCCGCGCCCTTGTTCTCCTTCTCTCGAATCCGTTATATGCCAATCCTCCCCGTATCCTCTCCTTCACACATTCTCCCTAACTCCTAGCGGCATTCTCACACTCTCCTCGTTCTTGAATCGCGACAAGTCCCCCCCAATCAGCTTTCTCAGATTTCCCATATCCTGCAAGTACCGATGCATCTCCTCTTGCAAATCATCTACACCTGCAGTGCTTTCTGTGTCATATCCATCATCGTAGTAGTGATCGTCTCCGTCCTCGTCGTCCTCGTCCGAGAACTCGTCCAAATTCTCTCTTTCCGCCTCTCCCGCTGGCTGGGGCTTGATGCTGACTGCGGGAATAGGGTTCTTGAGGCTCTCAATGGCCAGCTTGAGGTGCAGCTTCAAGGCCTCATTTTCTGTCTGCAGTTTCTTGATTTTGCTCTCGGCCACCATGCTGCGTTCTTCCATCATGCGCTGCATAGTCGTCACGCGGGTCTGGTATTCTTCAAGCCTCTCTTCGGCTTCCTTGGCATTCTTCTCTCGCTGCCGTGAATCCGACACTGACAATTGCAGTTTTCGGATTTCCTCTGCCATGGCGGCAATCTGAGCATCCCTCTCCGCGGTGGAGATGTGGTCTTGATTGACCACAGCACGTGTGCGGATGCGCTTGGCCTGGTCAGCATATCGGAGGGTCGAGAGCGTCTCATCGTAGTCGGACGGCGCTATGCAAGCAATCATTGCTGTTTTGCTGTTGCCGCCAAGTGAATCCTTCAACAGCCATGTAAGGATGGAGTCTCGGTATGGCACGATATCCTTCCGCTTGCCAGATCGCAGAGCCTTGGGGTCGGCTAGAGCAGCAATCACCCGGCCAAGTGTCGTGAGCGACTTGTTGATGTTGCTGCCCTCACGGAGTCGAGCGCCGGTGGCCTCTGTTGACTTTGCCCTCTCACTTCCCGCCAAATCAACCAATCGAATCCGAGAGCTTCGCTCCGTTGTCTCATCCGTCTCCATATCGTGATGAATCTGCTTCAGCATAATTGTGAAAACGGCGTGACTTCGACTGCTGGTATCGTTCATTTTTGTGCTTGCCGTTGTTCGAGATTGGTCGCCATTCTTCATGTATCGCAGAATCTCGTTAATGCTCCGTACCGGAACCTCGGTCAGATCCTTTACGTACGGTCCCTCCGTTGGCGATTCCCGGATTTTGAGGTAGTGGGGAGGAGCGTTGGGGTTTACGGGGACCAGCAAGTCACGGACGTGTTCGTTGTAGACTTCAAAATACGAAACCCGGACGTTGTAGGCAATGTTGGAGTTTTCGTTGTGGGCAGCGTCGATACGCTCAAACAGGTCCTCGCAAGTCCGTGGAATGAGGCCTGGTTGGTCAGGAGTTCCCATCATTGTATAACTCTTTCCCGACCCTGTCTGGCCGTAGGCAAAAATGCAAGTATGATATCCCTCAAAATTGTGGTCGAGGAACTCTTCGCCCAGACTGTTGTATACATCTTCTTGGTGGGCGTAGTGAGGATCCTTGATATTGTGGCTCCAAAAGGAGTTGTCAAAGGTGAATTTCTTGTCCTCAATGACTTTTCGCGACTTGAGTATCGGGCTATCGAATGTGTCTTGATCTGGAGCACGCAAGGTGGTGAGTTGTGTAATGGGGTCCATTTGAATCAAGCACCGTGCCTGTCGATCGAGCTCTATCCGCGTCCACGACAAGGAAATCAGTACACCGTCACCATGGACTCATTGAAATGTCAAGCTGCAAAGCGAGGAGGCCGCCTACCTCTTTTCAAAAAGGCCCTCACGCGGACAACGACCCTTACATTTCCTCCTCCTTCCATCCTGGACAGCAGAGGTACATTCCCATCTCTAGAGCGAAGCGATGGCGTCGAGGCGGAAGAATGAACCTGGCGGTCAGGAGTTCCAGATGGCATCAACCGTGCATCAAGAGCCATGGTACGCAATATCTCGTGGATGTCAAGAACAGTTTCGTGGAGTCGCAGGCGGAGAATGCACTACATTATCCAGCCCCGGAACAGCACTAGACGGGGGTTCTGGGTAGCTCTTTTCTCCTCTGAATTTTTAAGTTTGCCAATTTCCAAGGTTGCAAGATGCCCAACTGCGCAGATGTGTTGGTGCTCAAAGGGATGGTTGGGCAGGAGCATTGTTTACTGGCGTCATGGCTGTTGCCAGGGCCAACATGGCGCACGTGTGGCTTGGGAAGGAGCGATCGAGAGTGGGGCAGATGAGCCAATGCGCTTCTGCCGCCGGTCCCTGCGTCCAACAACACCCATCACGCGTCTCCGCGCGACTGAGAAACCCAGAGACAAAATCAGCCACCCTCGTACTTGATGAATTACACAGCCAGGTGCTCTCTGATTTTGGCACCCTTCTGCCAACCTCTGTCGCGTCCAACCACGGCCAGTAATTCATCGATCGCAAAAGCAACTCACTGCTTCCTTCCATCAACCTCCCCCCTCTCCGTGATTTCTTTTCCATTTTCCAACCATTTTTCTTGGTTCCTTCTTACCTCTGAACACACAAAGCCAGGCCGACCGGCCTAGTCGTTTTCCCACGGCGTCGCAATAAATACGACACTCAAAACTTTGCGTTTCTCGGTCTATCCCAAACACACACACTCATTCGCCCACTCACCGCCTTGTCCTCTTGACCACCACAAGTATCATGGCTAGAACCAGAGAGGAGGCGACATCTGCTTCTGCAGACGTCCCTGCCCGAAGGTCATCCCGCGCCAGCGCCGATGGCATAAGCAAACCAGAGCCCAGTGGTCGAGGGCGTGGAAGACCTCGATCAAATAAACCACCAAGGGAGCCTACTGGCCGGCCGCGTGGAAGACCCAGGCTAAACAAGCCGCCAAAGGAACCTACTGGACGTCCAAGAGGCCGCCCCAAGGGTAGTGGCAAGAAAGCCGCGGAGAAGAAAACGCCAACCAAGACAACGGCTACGAGAGCCGGATCACGCGGTCGCCCGCGCAAGCTTGTCGGGGGGGAGGCGGCCGCAATAGCGAAGACTTCCACTCCCAAGGCCAAGAATGGACGGGGGCGGTCCAGGAAATCAGGCGACGCGACACTAGTCGCTGAAGTCGAGACAGTCGAGGAGGCGAAGCACGCGGCAGAGGAGCTGGAGGCAGCAGGGGAGGAGGGCATGGACGTGGACACGCCGGATGCCGATATCAGAGGAGACGTTGAGGATGTCGACGACTCCGAAGATGCTGAAGGCGATGACGCTCTCGACAGTGAGTAGAAATGCTCAACATCTCACGTCCTTCTTGCTCAATTTTCGACGTAGGCCCTTCAGGAATCGCCTCTTCGCCGGGGGAAGAGACTGGGCAACAATGGATTAGCAAGATTAAGGGTTACTTTGCGTGAAATTATGATTACTGCAGGTTTTAGGTTGTACATGTTAGGTGGTATTCTGCCAAATCAGGCGCTTAGGAGCATTATCCTGAGCACGGAATAGGATGGTGGGAAGACTTGTACTTTAGGAATCCACTGCTTTTTTGCTGCGACACATTGCTTAATGGACTGGTTGTTGTGCCTGACGAGATATACCTGTTCAAACTCGGGCTTCTAAAAATTGAAAAGCCGGTGTAAGTCGCATACCGAACGACATGTCGGTACAGCGGGAGCCCAAGAGCATGTTGCCTTTGTTTGAAGACTCCCAGTCTACTATCCCATGTTATATGCAAACGGCACGCCTCCCGCAGCCCAGCACTCCTCACTCAGCCCTCCATGTCACAAACTCCTCCTCCAAATGCTCCTTCAACCTCGTGAACCGATTCCCAAACCCCCTCCCACACCGCCAACACTTCAAATCCCGCCGCAAATACCCTTGTTCCTTGGGATCCAGCCGCTCGTCGCCCTCGCTCATGGGAAAATCACCCACATCAACCAAGAACGGGGTGTTGAACGAATTATAGTGCTTCCGGTGCCGCATGCTGCTCGAGTGCATGTCCCTCGACAGCACGTGTACATGCAGATGCGTCATGCTCGGCACCGCGTGCACACCGACCTTGACCTCGCTCTCCCAGTCTCTGCCCCCGGGCAGCTCTCCGTCCTCGCTGTCCTTGTCGCCGTTGAGCACTGCCTGCCGAGCCGCGTCCGCCTTGGAGTAGCGCCCCAGCCGGCGCTGTAGTTCCGCGGCAACGAGGGCTTTTAGCTTGGCGGCTTCCCTTTGGACTTTTGCTAGGAATGCCTCGTCCTTGAAGGCTTCGTAGGGGTGGAGGAGGTTGTGGGAGGGGGAGCGAGGGAGGAGAAGCGTGTGGATGGTGGACTTGGGGTACTTGTCGTGGATGGCGACAAAGTCGGCGTTTTGGTAGATGATGACAGAGGGCGGGAAGGACGACGGGGAGGATATGTAGGCGCCTAGCCCGAGGCGGTCTTTGAATGGGTTTGGGCGGGATGCCTGCGGTGCTAGGGATGTTGATGCTGCTGTTCGTGAAGGTGGTTTGGGCTTGGGTGCCATGAGAGCTGTGACTGGGGAGGCGTGTTAGTTGCGGTCATGATTAGGGGGGTGGAGGGGGGTCTTGCAGGCATTTTGGGGCAGAGGCGGCGCGGGGGCTGTGCTTTGGATTTCGTCCTTGGTGATTGCTTCGTCAGAGTCGGAGTCCATGGCTCGGTTGTGATGGCGATGCGTGCATGTTGGATGAGAGATCAATGATGAGTGAGAGACTGGGAGTGAAGCTGAGGTTGAACGCCCCGCTAATCGTCAACTTCTCACTTATCAGCCTTGGACCGCCGTTGAAAGAAACATCATACATTTAATAATGGCATATTTTGCAGCACAGACATGTCTGGAGAAGAAAAAAACCTCCAAATTTTCATCCTTCATCTCATTAAAGAATCATTTCCTCTCACACCACCGTTCTATCCGGCTTGGGCATCATGCATCCAGCCCGTTCAGCTCTATCAGTTTAATCACCAGTTTGATAACCTTGTCGTTGTCCAAATTCAAGCCCGGGTTCTCAACCTTTTGCGCAATCAAATCGTCTACCATTCCCCTCAGTCTAGCTACCAAGACGCCGATGCGAGCCCATCCGCGAAGTCTTAGCCATCCATCAACGAGCAGTCCCCGACCCAAGGTATCCAACTCGATTGGCCCAGAGAACAACAGCAGCGTAAACACATTGAATGCTAATCTCTCTTAGTACTCAAAATATAACTTCACAAGGTGTTCAAGTGGCAACTTACGTGTCAGGTCCCGGATAAAGATCTTAGTGGTAGAAATGATGCTAAAGTACGCCATGTACGCTGCATTTCCCGAGAATCCTTGACTATCAAATACTGTGCTGCTTGGGTGAACAAACACCCGTCCGTTCTCTTGATTAAAATACTTGATTGATCGTGCTTCGGGGTCAAGCTCCATCGCGCCGGACATGGAGCTTGCATACTTTTTGTCCGGATACTGAATCCTGGCGATCTGGGGTGTGAATGCAGAAGCGATTAATGCTCGTATGAGCTGAACATTACGAACTGGGTTGGAAGTCGCCGCGTCGCTCCTGAAACGAGGTGCAAGTCCAATCTCATTCAGAGCTTCGTAATATTGCGACCTGGTGTTGGAAATATCGGAGAGGGTTTGATAAGACAGGAAATTTTCGTCACAAAATGCTCTCACCTGTCTCTGCGGCAGACGATCTTTCATCATACTGTCCCATTCTCGGAACGCTTCCATATCTGTAATTAGATCGCCATTTCCGCTGAAAAACCGCATTCTCGCCTGTCTCGACTCCTCCCGCTTCTCTTGCGGAGAAACAAACGGGCTTCTAGTACTGAGAATCGCCGCAATGGTGACACAGTCGTCCAGGCAGCCGAAAATGGCTCCATATACCATGAGTTTGCCGCATCGTAAATCAGCCGGCAGCATGGCAAGCTGTTGACCCATGGCGGTAAGCTCATCGCCATCCAACGCACCCATCCGCCTTAGCAACTTGATGGCCCCTTCGATGGCTTTGGCATCTGGCGGAGTTGGTGATCGCCCCAAAAATCTAGCCACATCGCGCATGCCCATGGCTCGCACAGAAAGACAGAGCTGCTCAAGAGGCACTCGCCTGATTTCAGGTTCAGGCCGCTCAGCCATTTGTCGTTCCAAGTTTTCTGTGTATAGCTTGTAACATCTGCCTTCCTGAACACGGCCCGCACGTCCACGCCGTTGCTTACAGGCCGCCCGCGACGCCCAAGTCTCTTCGAGCTTCCTCATATTGTTTTGGGCGTCAAAGCTTGTTTCTTTAACCTTGCCACTGTCAATAACAGCTATGATATCATCGATTGTGATGGATGTTTCCGCTACATTAGTAGCTACTACAACCTTGCGCTTTCCTGGAGGAGGCTTGGAAAATACTCTTTTCTGCTCTCGAGTCTCCAATGACGCATGCAGCGGCAAGACATGCAGCGAGTTGATAGATCGCAAATGATTGCAGGCGTGGTTAATCTCGCCCACGCCAGGCAGAAATATGAGTATACCATCCGGCTTCTTCTCGTATGAAAGCTCGTAATCAATTGCTTTGACAGCGTCCACCAGTAAGGTGTAGTTGATCCGGTGGCCAAGCTTCTGAATAATTTTCCCCATGGACTCATCTGTGATAAAGCCAGCGTCTGGCTTCTCAACGTTAAATCCCGTCATCCGAACGACATCATCTAAATAGTACTCGTCCACCGGGAATGTTCTGCCCGCAATTTCAACGCAGCCCACACTCAGTCCTTCTGAAGCAAAGTAGTCCATAAACGTGGAAGCATCAAGCGTAGCAGACATGAGGATAAGCTTCAACATATCCTTCTTGGTTCTCATAACGTCGCGTATCAAGTTCAGCAAAAAGTCGGTGTCAAGACTGCGTTCATGCACTTCATCGATGATCACATGGCTGACATCGGCCAACGAAGCAACCACGTCTTCCACTCGCCCGCCAGATGTTTGCAACCGTCGCAGCAGCACGCCCGCTGTGACAAATGTGATCCTTGTGTCTTTTGATTGTCGAGATTCCCCGCGAATGATATAGCCAACCTCCCCTCCAACATTTGAGCATCGTTCTTCTGCCACGCGATCAGCCAGACCCAGTGCCGAAATTCGACGCGGCTGCGTAACAATCATGTTCGCACAGCCTCCCACGCCTTTGCCATACAAATCATCCAGAATAAACTGAACAGATTGAGTAGACTTGCCCGAACCCGTTTCACCACTTATGATAGTCACATGATTGTCGTTGACTGTCTTGACAATTTTTTCTCGCATCTGCCAGGCTGGAAGTCTCTGTCGTTTCGATAACATATCTTTCCATGCCGAGCTTTCTTGTCGCCGAAGCCACTCCTCCTTGGTTTTAGAATCGGATACCCAATTGATTGGCCGGACACTCCGAGTTCTCTTTGCCCGTCTCCCTTGTGCAACTGGACGGTTTTCTGAAGCTGCGGAGGAAACAGCAGAAATGTCAACTAAATTGCCAGGGCTGTCGATGATTCCGTTGATGTTCTGCTGAATCCAGTCCATAACAAGATAAATCTTCATTGGTTCATCCCGCAGAGAATTTTCCATGTATGCTAGGGCCTGTCTGACTATGCTGAGCTTAATGTAAGACGGCAGTTTTGCGATGATTGCTATGATCAGATGTTTCGGGTAGCTAGACGGTCTTCGAACTTGTAGGAATGTTTCAACCTCGCCTTTTTGACCACTCTGAGCGTTCTTTACTGATTCCAGCTTCAACTGGATCAAGTCGTTAGATTCGCGGCGGAAAGCGTCACCATACATGGCTTCTAGGCTAGCGATTTCATCGTCCCATTGCTCTTCTGGTGAGCCCATGTCCAGGAAGTCATCAGATTCACCCTGTTCTGCGTCGCTTGCAGGGCTAGATGAAAGCAAAATGTGCTGCAAGGCCTCGGCTGCTTTACTTTCATCTCCATCGTTTTCATCGAGAATGCGAGTACACAGCTCAACAGAGTATCCTGTTTCTGATAAAGATTTAATAATTCCCTCTCGCTTTAGATTTGTAGATCCAATAGAGACACCAGCAGAATAGCTTTCGGGTATAGCCCAGCGAGGCAAGTCATCTTCAGGTACATGAATCAACAACCATTCAAGGGCTTCTTCACGGTCTTTGCAGTATTCCACGGCCTCAATGACGTGGCTTCGTCTGAACCCCAATTTGCCAAGTTCCGTAACCAGGAAGCGCTGCTGATCTTGTTGCATTCGTACACCGTGCGGATTCCAGGAGATTCCGTTTCGAAGAAGTGCTTCAAGCTGCACTCTTGTCTGTCTGCCCATCTCAACCTTTGGTGCCGTGGTCCATCCCTTCATCGGGTTGAATGAAGCCCCTTTATCGTTTCCAGAGTTGCTCAACAACACCAAGCCTGATGCACCAGGCATTTCCTTGGCCTTGGCCTTGGCTTGCTCGAGCTCCCTTCGCTTCTTGTCCGCAGCAGCCTTGGCCTCCTGTCTTTCTTGAAGCGCTCTGAATGGATCCGCTTCATACATCCATGCCTTGCCATCCTTCACATCTTGCACTTTCAATGCTTGAAACTCTTTCCACAATGACTTGTGGTCTGGCGGCAGCACGGTATGCTTGTTTTGCATGCTGCAAACTCTGAACAAAGCATACGTAGCAGCGGCATGCTTGGCCTCCAGGGCTGTGTCCCTCAAAATCAAATGTTTATGACTGAGAGGTATCTTGAATGGGTCCAACTTGGTCAACTGCTGAGTCTTGGGATCCTTTGCGCTCAAAGTGACCCATACTGAGAATCCTTCAGGTGTCTTTCGGGTGTCGTATTCTGGCTTTTCCCAACGCTGTTTCTGGCAGTATTCACTTAAAAGGTTGACTGGGAGCTTACCCGTCCATGACGAGCCTCCAATTATTTGTTTGACGGTTGGCTTGGGCGGGCCTGCTGGCGGAACAATGGGCGTCGAAGACTCGGCCTTTTGGCCCCTTTTCGCCTTTGTCCCATTATTACCAGCAGACTCTATAGCCTGTGTCGGCGGCTCAGCCTTCGCTTTGCCCTTCTTCACCATGACAGATGTATGTATTGGCGTTACCGCGCGGCTTTGCGGTGCTTGAGTTCATCTGGCGGCAAAAGTGGACTATGGATGCAAATTGCAACCTCCAACAGTATATATAATAATCGCACAGTGTAACCAACGCGCTGCAGGCGCGGTCATGACCGTGTGACTTACTGTATGGACAAACACAACCAGAAAAGGGGCCTGGAGTAGGCAAACATTCAACATGGAACAAATCTCTTCCAAGTAATACGTCAGGGAATTATAGACACTAATTCACTGGTCCACAGAATTGCACATGGTCGTCATTTGGGGGCGAGATTTTTTATTTCACTACGTTGGTGTACCTACCGTGATATATAACCACTTGGTTATGACTTCCACGCTGGAGCGACATCTCCCGTGGGGTAATCAAGGCGCAGAGGGACCAGTCGCTGCATGAAAACAATTATTAAGTGCCTGTGCCTTGACTTGACCGTCCTTGCGCT